GACCTTGGGTGCTAAAAATTCTTTATTTCTTTATTTAAAATTAAATTCAATAAAAGTTACAATTTTCTTAAAACTATTTACAAATTAAAATTTCTACTTAAAATTAAAACAGATAAAATTCGGATAAAGTACAAATAAAATACTAATTAAAATACAATTTAAAATTCAAATTTAAAATTACAAATAAAGTTAAAAACAGATAAAATTCAAATAAATACAAATAAATTACACTAAAGTACCAATAAGATCTAAACTACAGATAAATTAAAAAGTAAAAATGTACAATAAAATTCAAATTAAAATTCAATAAATACAAATTAAAATTCAAATAAAATATAACTAAAATTACAGGTTAAAACAAATAAAATCACAAATTAAAAAAAAAAAAACATAAATAAAATAAAATTCCAAATTAAAATTCCTAATACAAATATCACAGTTTAGATCTTATTCCTACTTATTACTATTTTGGCCAAGGATCGGCAATACTCCACGAAGTACCCGCGTAGTATTTCTAGTTCAGCTCTTTTAGCTGCGAAAATCGGGCACTCCGTGAGTATGTGCAGCACGGATTCACCCCGTGCTGGGTCACAAACGCAAGAGGGGTCCCCCTTGCACTTAAACTTGTGCAGGTATTCGGAGAACCCCCCGTGCCCAGTTAAGACCTGAACCAGCACGGGGTCCAACTCGAGGCTCCGGATTGTAGGGTAGGCTGCTACGGCATCGGGGAAGAAGAGCTTCGTAGTCGAGGCCGTGACTCCTTCCATATAACGCCTGTTCCATTTGTCAAGCGCATCCAGACGAATCTGTCGCTTGACAAATGAAACAGGGCACCTTTCATAATTAGGCCTGGTCTTCATCCCGACTGCAGCCGCCTTTGCGAGTTCGTCTGCTCGTTCGTTTCCCTCCAGCCCCGCGTGCGCTTTCACTCAAAACACTTTCACAACTTTCCCTTGCTCTGTTGCCGCTTTCAGATCTTCCCTTATACCATTCGCGAGAGGGTGGAGAGAAACGCCGCTTCTCAACGTCTCGAGTGCTGACCTAGAGTCGGAATAAAGACCAAAGCTCCTTTCTTTACTCTTCACAACATACTTCACGGCCTCACTGAGGGCCAGCAGTTCCGCCTGGTAGACGGTGCAAAAGCTTCCCAGCTTTAATTTCCGGCAAGAGATCTCCGCGGCGCTATCCCACACGGATAACGCCGCGCCGACTTTGCCGTCAATTTTGCTACCGTCGGTGTAAATATTTACATCGACGGTAGCTCGCTGGGCAGCTTCGTCACCGCCGGCCAGGCAGTCAAACTGCTGTCCCTCAAGCAGCGCGGGGTGCGCAGACTTTACAAACTCTACTGGTCTCTCGAGCACAAGGTCTCCCAACACTTGGTGGGTATGACCCCTTTTTTTTTTTTTTTTTTTTTTTT